ATTCAAACGTTTCGGCATATTTGCAAGTTCTTCTACCTGTGCCTGTGCTACCTGAAACTTGATGAGATCCATAGATGTTAGCATAATTTAGAGTTGATCAATTCATTGTTCCTGATATCAAATTATAATCGACTAAATTCTAGTCCAAGATTGCTATTAAGTTTCAAAGGGTACAAAATATAAACTGACACGAGGTAGACAAATTTCCGCATTTGTTAAAAGGAATTATAATGCGAATAATAGAACCAGCCATGGCTACTGTGTTGGGTTTTTATACCCAATAAATCTCGGGCAATGATGTTAAACAGTTTGGATTATATTTCATAGGTCTTGGCCGATGAGTGAAATAACTATCAACACAATCAATTTATAGGCTCAACCCAAAAACAACTTGGGTCATTGGAAGCAACTTAATTAGTTAATATTGCTCATGGCCACTATAACTCTTGGATGGTCATTTTAATGTGCGGCCCAGTGATCTTAGTTTTAACCCATTTGTTAGATGATATTGGCCCAAGTCTTGGTAACCCGAACTTACCTATATATACCCATTTTCTTATTGTGTTGGAAATGTGTGTGCTTTGCGAATGTTGAAGAGAAAAATCGTGGTTGCTTCTTTCTCCTCCTTCGTGCCTTGTCTTCTCTCGGCCTTTGTGGTGGTGTTCGTTTTCTTTAGATAGTTTCCTCCAGATGACAAGACAGACCATGTGGTGGTGTTCGTTTTCATTTTTGAGTGCTAAGGTAAATTTTGGACAATTTGCCCTTCCGCGTTCGAGATTTAACTTTTGCTCAATTGGTTGCTGTAATTCCTGAAAACTTTATGGCAAATAGTGGTGGCCCTAAAGCGGTAAATTCGCATCTCTCATTATTTACGGGCCCAGATTAGTCCGCTCTATATATTGGCTTATCCTAAATTTAAATTTCCACATTAGCGGGTCATCTTGTCGGGTGACAATAGGATTATGGTTACTGTGTTGGGTAACCACTGCTTGTGCTAGAAATTTATGAATTATTTGCCATATTTGAATAATTGGATTTAACTGCAAGTTGATAATTACTTCTGTGTTTAATTGCATGTATTGCGTGAGAATTTGAATTTTTGTCGACATACCATC